TCCAAAAGAAAGGTAATTATGAATATGTTTGATTTTATGTTTATGTGATTTCAAATTTGATGTTTTAGAGGCTCTTTCAAATGATAATGTGATAGTTTTAGAAATTAGATAGTTTAGTCTACCGTCCGACCTCTGTTCCCATCTCGCCTACGCGAGCTCACCGGGCCGGGTCGTGAAAATAAAGGTGTATTAGCTAGAACTAGATTACTACCATATCTCAATATGAGTGCAACGATGATGCTAAAATCCTCAAACAATTTATAGAAAGAGAAATGATATTTGAGTTTCTTGTAGGACTTAGTGATAAACTTGACTCAGTTCGTATTCAAATCTTAAGCAAAGAGATCCTACCATATGTAAATGAGATCTTCTCACTCTTCTGAACTGAAGAATGAAGGATGGTAATACTCGACAATTCCGCCACTAAAACATCTGTTATGACAAACAGAAAGCCCAAGGTAAATAATGTCTTATTGCCATTGATTCTTCTCATAAAAAATGATAAATGCCTTTTACTAAAAGTAATCTATGGTGTAATTACTACAACAAAAAATGGCACATCAAAAAGAAATGTTGGAAACTCCATAAAAAGTCCCAAGGCTATGATGGAAAGAAAGAAGACCAATCTAAAGGGTAGGCTTATATTGGGGAACCATAACTCTACCTAAAATAAATTGAGAAGCTCGAAAATTCCCTCAACTCTGTAGAAAAATTATCCAGATTATCCTATCAAGTTCAAAATGGTATGAATTCTAACTTATTATTCTAACTTGTGTTTTTTTATTGCCTCAAATAGTTTCCCTCAAATCCATATCATTACATGACAAATCACACTCATCTTTTTCAAAATTATAAATCTTGCACTAGTAATAAGAGCATAGAAGTAGTTGATGACTCTCTAAAAAGTGTTGCGGGTTAAAGGAATTTTTATATTTTTCTCGCACCTATCCTAAATAATGTATTACATGTTCCTCATCATAAAATCACCAACGACCATTATTGGGAGGTAAATCTTTTTACTAATGATTATGTATTTATTTCAAGACCTTACTACAAAGAATACTATTGAGCAATATAGAAAGAAGGATGTATTTTATTCTCTTGAAGACAAAAATCAATTATCACATTATTTCATCTCCACTATGAATACAAAAACTATTTGGAAGGCTGTGAGAATCGGATTGGACATCGAGCCGGAAGAACAAGAGTTCAAGGTTTAATGGTTCGACCGAGATTAAACTAGGGGTTAAACTGGATGATGTAATAAATATTAAAATTATTTAAATAAATTCTAGATGATATAATACTAAGAACATGATTTGACAAATCTACAAAGGTCTTGTATGGAATAGGATATAAACAAAGCTAAGGAAATCATGCACTTTTCATAAAATATTCTATTGGTGATAATTTTCAATTGTCATTGTATAAGTTGATATATTTGTTACAAGAGATGATGATAAAGAAAAAGAATCACTCAAGAAAATACATGCTAAAGAATTTGAAATCAAAGAATTAGGCAAATTCAATTACTTATTATAAAAGTTTAGTCATGAAAAGAAAATTTTCTCTCTTAACAAAAATATATCCAGCAGAATACTAACTGTATCAAGCCAAAAATTGGACGTAGATGAATCAGAAATTGACATTAGACAATATTAAAGATTAATGGGGAATCTAATTATCAGGCCCATCCTGACATCATGTCATAATCCAACCCGATAAGACCCACTGACAGGTCTTATCGTGTTGAGCTATAACAGGTAAATCCTAATATCTAATTTTTAAAAAAATTTCAAATTTTATCTTCCAATTAAACTTTTAAAACAACACCAAACTATAGAGCTACTAAAACATTCAATGGACTGAAAATAAACTCATCTTGAATATTTGCTTTTCCTTAATCATAAAAATGACATATACAATTATAGGGTATGGTTATAAATAAAAGCTATAGAATAGAGTAATAAAATTAGGCATAACTATGCAAAAAAAAAAAAAAAAAAAAAAAAAAAAAAAAAAAAAAAAAAAAAACTTATAGACTCAGATTAGATTCCTGAAACTGCTACTCAATCGAATCCTTCCGTTTCCCAGACCCTGGAAATAAAATGCAAAATCACAGCGTGCTAAAACAGCTCAGCAGACCACATTTCAACTAATCTAAATTTTCAAATCATTTCATTTATTAAACATTCACTGAGTATTAAATGCAGAATTGAGCAGAGCATTAAATGCAATTATAAAAAATTTACATAAAATACATAAGCATTTCATATTTCACTCTCAACAGACATGGTTCAATAACTCTGACCCTTATGACTCCCAACAGATAGAGTTCAATAACTCTGAGTAACATTCAAAGTTTAACAACTATGAATAATAGATAAAATTCAATAACTCTGAGTAACAAATATAGTTCAATAACTCTGAAACATAATGAGCATATATTATTTGAGCAAATCTTCTTCCACCCCTTTCTTTTTTTTCTTGGAATCACTCATTTCAACTAATTAAGCACATGTTTCAATGATTAACAATAAATAATTCATAAAAAAACACATTTTAGAATTTGTCAAAATGTTATAACGGTAGGCAAGGCAAAAAAAATCCTGTTAAGCAAAAATGTACATTTTCAAAAAAATATTCAAATTATTAGAGATCGTGCAAAATACTATTTTAAGACTTTATTAATACTATAACATTATTGTTAAGAGTTTGAATTATTTTCTATTCGATAAAAACCGTATAAATTTCAGACCTTTGGTATAAAATTTCTCGAAAATATTCAAAATGTTCAAAATCTTAATCTCTATAACATATAAAATATTACACAATGAAAGTTTTAGCAATACAAAGTTACCCCTATTTTTTTATACAAAACTAGAAATTTAATCAAAAAATTCAGGAAAAATATTGTATTTTTTAAAACTGAGATAGATATAGTATGACATACATTGAGACGAGCAAAATTTTCAATTAGACTGACAGACAAAAATGGATTTACGTCCTCCAAATCCTAGTTTTTCTTTTCTCCCTCCTCTTTTTTCTCTCATTTTCCATTTTTTCTCCTTTTAGCTCTCCATTAAATGAAATAAAGGGGTCAAATGACTTTTAAAAAGTTTTTAAGTGGGAAAAAGATTTTTATAATAAAATAATCAAATGACATATTGATAATTATTCTAATTATTTAGTTTTTAGAGTAAAATTCATATAAATCCTTTTGCATATTTAAATCGGGGATCCAAAAATTATGAAAAAATATTCATAAATTAGTTAAGCATGTTTAAAATGTTCTGGTGATATCGGTTTGCAAAGCGGACACCTAACGATCAAAAAAATTCCACTTATATTAACATATGTTAATTTCTTAAGGAATGACAAAAATATCTAAAATTTAATAAAAAAATATTATATTTAGAGCACAACCATGTCTATGTTATTGCGAAAACGGTTTGCAATTTGGACTTATAATGACTTCTGAAATAATTTTTTACTGTTGTTTCTCAAAACATATATTTTAAAATTTAAGGATTATTACACATTACATTTGTAGTAAATCTCGTAAGTCAATTTATGCACAAGCCCAAATAATCTCACCTTAAAGCTACTTACAAAGTTCTCAAATACCCAAAACTAAATCCCAAAAAATGGATTCTCTATAAAAAATATGAAACTTTATGAATTGAAGGTTATACCAACACTGATTTTGTAGGATCACCAGTGAATATGAGATCCACTTGATAACGGACATTTTTTGGAGGAGATCTTATATTATGTTGGAGCATGAAGTAATTTGTCTCATGATCAAGCGTTGAATTTGAATTAAAAGCTTGCTTAAGGTATCTGTGAACTCTTATGTATTAAACTTATTTTAGAAGATTTAAAAATTAGATGAGAAGAACCTAGAAAAATATATTGTGTCAATAAATTTACCATCAACTTTGCTTGCAATTAAGTGCAATATAATTGAATTAAACATTTGGAAGTGGATTGATATTTCATAAAAGAGAAACTAGAAAATGGGTTAATTTGTACTTCATATGTCCCAATGGAAAGCCAACTTGCTTACATATTTATCAAAAGCTTTGCAAATCCGCGTTTAAAAATATTGTAAGCAAATTTGTAATGATAGATCTATATTATCCAATTTGTGTGGGAGTGTTGAAAGGCTGTCAATCCTAATAAGATCAGCAAATTGCTAGAAAAGGAAAAAGGAGGCCATGGATCCATCATGTAAACAATGAAGCACCTCTCCAATGGATCTTTGCACAAGAAAGGAAAGAACGAAGCCTTGGATTGCTCCCTTGGCATTCATCTGTGTGCTTATCAAGGGGTGGAAAACAATTGTAGTTAAACATTTAAATTTTTTATGAGTTATTTTAATAAGTTATTTCCATTTATTTTCTAGATAGTTTTATGTATAAATACCCATTAGATAAATGAACAGACAAATTTTGTGGAGCCGACTCTTCTTTTCTACGATAGTATTTAAGCCCTTAGAAGTTGGAGATGATTTCTTAATTCAGTTTAAGTACCTATTTGGTTCGCCGTAAATTGGAAAAGGAAGTTTATGAATAATGAAATTTACTAAATTCCACCATTTGATTAGAAATCGTTTTGCAAACCTTACAAAGTCCCAAATGTAAGGACTTGATTTTCACACAATATGTCTGAAAAATGAAATCAATATAAGTTCTTGGGTTCCGGAGAGCTTCAACAAGTCATCCACTGTCTTTGGCTCTCCAAGGACCTGTAGCCATCTTAAGGGAGTTCCTTTGAAGCTATGGTAACCTGCAGTAGTCTTCTATTGCAAATCACTTGCATTCAACCAACGAGTTTGAAATATATCGTTCAAACAACGTCCAATCTAACAAAAGCAGCAGGATTTCCAAAATTCTTCATTTTACTGAATTGGTTCTTAGTAATTCACCATGATTTTAAAATTTACTCAACCAAATGTGCTCTAAATCAAGTTTTTATCTTCTATTGACACGATACAGGGAGGAACACATTGGACTCAATGGGCATTTGTTTTAGGAAAAGTTTTAGAAACCATCTAACAACTGACAGGTAGATGGGAAGCCTCTTCTAAGAGCCAAATGGTCTACTGTCACTTCTGCAAAAGGTTGATTAATCCCTAACATTTTGTCTGATTCTGCATTGTGGAAGGATGCGACTGCTTACCCTGTCCCCTTTCAACTATAGGCATGCAGTAAGCCATAGTTGGTTTATGTTAACAATATTAAAGATTACCATTAAGATTCTTATATTGTTTGTCAACTACTACTTTTTTGTTAATTCAGTCGTGCAAGGGAGTGGTGCTTTCTTTCTGCCTCCTGAATATTGCAGATATGATTCAGAAGTTGAAATGACAGCTTTTTTCATTCAGTTTACCAATCTGTAAACTCCATGAGGTGGCGGCCCTCAGCTTTCTCACTGTTCGCTGAACCTGAGATATGTTTCAACAGATAAATTTGACCATCTGCAATTTTTAGGAGGTTGGTATTCTATATTATAACACTGTCATTGCGAGGTCCCAAGTTCTGGATGAGAAAAGTGAATGTTATGTTAGGTAGTCGACAATCAACGTAAAACTTGTCGAATAATCATGACATGAATCCTTTAATACATTGTGTTAATGCTAGAGTGCTCCCTGGAAGTGACGCCCTGTATGACCTGAATAGCGAGAAGTGTGCAAGGGCCGTTGCATCGACGCCCAGATGTAGTGTTAAATAAGCAAGGGTTGCCACATCATGGAAGGACGTGGGCAAAGAAGCTAGTCCATGAAACTAAAATTAGGTTATGATCGTAGAATATAGGTTCCCTTATTGACAAATTAATGAAATTAATTGATATTATGATTCATAGAAAGATAAATATTTTATGCATTTAGGAAATTAAATGGGTGGGAGAGAAAGCTAAGGAGATTGCTAGTTTAGGGTTTAAACTTTGGTATTCTGATAGGAGTCATACTAGAAATGGTGTATGTGTGATAATATTGTAAAATTTGATAGAATTTGAGATATAATTATAGTTTTGAAGATTATTTTTTATGATAAGATTATTAATATTATAAGTGTTTATGCTCATCAAGTAGATTTTGGATATGCGTTTAAAGTAAAATTTTGTAATGACTTAGAAGAATTAATACAAAAGATACATCTTAAAGAAATAGTTTTTATTTGAGGAGATTTAAATGGACATGTTGGTTAAGGCGTAGAGGATTTTAAAGGCATTCATTTTGGCTATGAGTTTGGAGCAACTAATAAAGGTGGTAAGAGTATATTAGATTTTGTTTTAGCTTATGATTTTATTATTGTTAATACCTTATTTAAAAAAAAAGATGAGCATCTCATCACTTATAAGAATGGATACAGTAAAACTCAGATTGATTATTTTCCTGTAAGAAAAATAGATCGTTTAGATTATAGAGATTGTAAAGTTATTCCTGATGAATGTCTATGTACTCAACACTACTTATTAGTTTTTGACTTTAAGATAAATGACCAGAGTATGAACAATATAGAATATCATTGTTCTAGGATTAGATGGTGAGATTTAAAGAACTTTAACAAAAATGTCTTTGAGAGTAAGATTCACGATTTTAAAATTTTGTTGGTGTATGAGGAAGCTAATATTATGTGGGAATAGTAACTTGTGATATTAAGAATTTTGCAAAGGATCTGCTTGGAGTATCAAAAGGAAAAACTTATAATAGTAAAAATAGTTAGAGGAATCAAAATGTGTAAGAAAAGATAAAAAATAAGAAGCTATATTATAAAAATTAGTTTATATGTAAAAATTCTAAAAACTGAAAAATATATAATGTTGCCTATAAGAAGTCTACAGAAATATTCTATGATGCAAAGACTTTATCTTTTAATAATTTATATAATCGATTAGATTCGAAAGAGGACGAAAGATATATCTATAAGTTAACCAAACAAGGAGATATGAGTAGTAAGGATTTAGTTCGAGTGAGGTGCATTAAGGAATGAAATCAAAAAGTATTTTTTTTTTAGAAAAAGATATTCAACAAAGGTGGATGAGATATTATGTTAAGCTTTTCGATGAAGATTGTGAAAATACGATTGTCTTTAATGATCTTAACACTCTAAATGAAAATAGAGATTTTTGTTTTTATCGGCGTATTACTAAAACTGAAGTTAGAGAGGCTTTAAAGATAATGAAGTGTGGGAAAATTGTTTGACCTGATGATATTCCAATAGAGGTGTGGAAATACTTAGAAGATGAAGGAATTTCTTGGCTTACTAAACTTTTTATTATTATTTTGAAGACTAAAAAGATTTCATATGTGTGGAGAATGAGTGTGTTGATTCTTATCTTTAAGAATAAATGTGATGCACAAGATTGTGCAAATTATATAGGAATTAAGTTGATGTGTCATACTTTAAAACTATAGAGAGAGTTCTGGAGCATAGGTTATGACGTGATACTAATGTTTCTCAAAATCAATTTGGATTCATGCCGGGCAGTTCTACTATGGAAACCATACATTTATTGAGAGGTTTGATGGAGTAGTATAGAGAGAAAAAGGAAGATCTTCATATGATATTTATTGATTTAGAGAAAACATATGATAAGGTTCTAAGAGAAGTGCTATGGAGAGTTCTAAAAAAGAAAGGAATTAATAATGCTTATATTCAAGTCATTAGGGATATGTATGCTGGAGCTCTTACTTGTGTTCAAACACAAGGTGGTTTGACAAAGTATCTCCAATTTCAGTTGGATTACATCAAGGATCAGTCTTAAGCCCATATCATTTTGCTTCAGTCACGGATGTTTTTACTAGAGATTTGCAAGATGATGTTCCCTGGTGTATGCTTTTTGCTGACGATATTCTTCTTGTTTATAATACTAAAGAGAGAGTTGAAGGTAAACTTGGATTATGGAGGTCAACCTTAGAGTTTAAAGATTTTATTTTGAGTAGATCTAAAACTGAATACATAAAGTATAATTTTAGTAGTAATAGATCTAGTGGGGGGTTTGTGTCTTTGAGCGATCAAGTCATTAATAAGAGTACTTGTTTTATATATCTTGGATCTATTGTTCAGAGTGATGGTGAAATAGATGTGGATATTATTAGTAGAATTCAAGTTAGACAAATGAAGTGGAGGTCTGGAATATTACTAGCAGGTCTACTCAAAGAGCAGAGCAACTTATTGGCGAGAATAGAGAGTATGGAGGGAGAATAGAGGATGATTAGAGATCTTTAATAAGTAGAAATTTTCCTACTAGTCTAAGAGATAATAGGTTAAATTTTGATTGTCTTAAACATTACTCATCATCAATTATTTATAGGATTTTTTAGAAGCTGCATGAAGGCCGGGGTACATGGAAAAAAAGATATAAATACAATGCTGCATGAATTACATGTATAGTGCTACACTGCACTATGTACATGTGTCGTCCTCTGATTGGTGGGAGAGTTGGGAAGGAGAATTCCTCTCTGGGCACATGAAGTAGTGCTTAGGTAGGCTCTATGATGACAAGCATGTTTATGAGTTGGCGTCAAATTGGATGGGTTCTATAGTACAGGACCCGGTTGGGAGTTGCGGTCTTATGCTAAGTCTTGGATCACCGTGGGGGAATGGGTGAGTATATTGAAAAAGTCAATATGTGAGCGCTGGTGGGGCAAGTAGGGTGTTTCAGGCGAGAACCTTCCTGTAGTTGAGTTTGGACTTGGGGGGTGATGGTTCTGAGGTAGCAATTAGTGGCAAGCTGTTTGTTTAATGAGCCATCCTTGACTCCAGGACTATTCCACTAGCGAGGAGAGAAGAAGCAAAATCGTTTATGGTTGAGCCAAAGTTCTGTACCATAAAAGAGATGTAGGAAGGCAGTGGAGACTAAAGAGATAAGCAGAGATGTATTTCTGCCACTAAACAAATGTCAAATAGTACAGGGAGTACATATAAGCCGTATAAAGCTGTATGTAGTTAAGACTTCGTTTGAGATGGCTTTCCTTACTGCTTCATAAAACAACTTTTTAGAATAAACATTTTATTTTTTGTGCTAGAAAATTACTTTAATAAGAAGCAGTAAGAAAGACATCTCAAACGAAGCGTAAGCTTATCATGATTCTTTTGCTATAATTGCTGGCATTATTTGGTTTGTTTACAATGCACGCCTCTGATCAACTGGCAGAGGAAGTGACTTCTCCAGCTGCTGATTATGGCAGAATTCATTGATTTCGTTATTTTTTTTTTTTTGGGAAATTTTGGGGCGTAAGCCCTTCATCTATTCAGGAAAAGTAAAGGTTACAAGTAATGACTGTAAATAAAAAGAAGCAAAACCTACATAAGGTAAACAAAAAACTTATGCAGGCCACAAAAAACCACAACTATACCACCCAATACCTACAAAAAAGATTTATAAAGCACCAAAACGTAGTAATTGAAGCAAGATTTTTGATCTTTGATCTTTGAGGACTCAGGCTGCTGACCAAGTGACAACCCGATGAATGAAAAGCCTCCAAAAAATCCCCTGGTTACCGAAGAACGACCCTCCAAGGGGAACAAGGTCTAACAGTAGTCATCATTGTCCCCAATAATACCCTCAGGGCCCGAAGCAGCTTTCCTGGCTCCCAGAAAAGGAAACCAAGGATATGATCCGAATAATCCAGTAGTCCGAAAGAAGCCTTCAGCCAAGGCCAAATAACAGCAGAGTACAGCAGAAACATCAACCTCAGCTGAACAAACAAATCTCCCAGAACAGTCCCGATAAAACCAACAACAGCCCGCCATCAAAGCAGCTCCATTAAGGCATAACCATTTTTCCATCTCAGTAATTTAGTTAGCCCGCCATCAAGGCTGCTAACTAAATTGATTTCGTTATTAACATTGCTGTGTTTTGCACTGCAAGCAAATTAGATTGAACAGGGAAGCATTTTGTAGGAATAATATGCTAGTTTTTTTCCTCCAGATCTCCAGCTTTGCCATTTTCGAGAAATGCTTCTGTTTACTTCTTTGCTTTGCAATAATTTTATATGATGCACAGGAATCTATATGTATTCTTTTGATTTGAAGCAAGCTTTACAGTTTGAAACATGTGATCACATTGGAAAGTACTGGAAAATGCCCCATCTAAATAAATTATTTATGGAGGCTTCGTTTGAGATAATTTTCTTATTATTTTGTAAAGTCGTCATTTAGTATAAAAATATCTTGAAAGCAGAGAAAAAATAGTGGCCTAAGGCTCATTTGGGATAGTTTTTTCGCTGTTTTCTCAAACAATTTTTTAGTACAATTTTTTTTTAATTAGAAATTTTTGTAATAGAAAGCCGTCTTAGAAAGCGGTAAGAAAGTTATTTCAAATGATGCCTAAAGCTGTCCCAAACGAAGCCTAAATTTGAACAGAATGGCTAACTGCTATAGATTATATAATATTGTTCAATTTAATTCTTAATGGTGATTATAGTATTCTTGTTCTTTATTTTCACCAACAAAATGCTAAACATCTAAATGTTAATAATTTTTATTCAATATTCAATAGGTTGGCCTCAAAAAATTAAAACACATCAATTTTTTAAAAAAAAGTGCTAATTGCTTATAAATATCATAATTTTTTGTTGTATTTTATTATATATTTAATAAGAAATATCTTTTTTATTTTTAATTTATCTATAAATTAAAATCATTTAATTTCATGACTTTAAATAAAATAGAAAGTGTTAATTTTTAAATATTTGTGATGGATCTAAGTTTCATAATGTGTGGAAGAGCGAAGTTTTCATGACTAATTTAGTTTATTTAAACTAAATATATTACATTCAAATTTTTGCTATTTATAAAATTAATACTCTAACTTTTCTAATTATTTATATTCATAATAAAACAGTAGTCTGTATTTTTTGTTTTTTTATCAAATTCCTAATAATTTAATTGTAGACACGTATAAATATATTAATTTAATAACTAAAAAACAATATAATTATTTATTATATAAATAAAAATAAATAAATATTACTTATATAATTCCCTCTCTAAAAAGTTGTAAACAGGCACGTGTAAATCCACCAAAGGCGGTGTAGCTAATCTTTGGTCCAAAGATGGTTAGTCAACTCAGAAGCCCCATCACCTTCCTTTTTATTTCTTTCTCTTTGATTTTTATTATTTTTTTACTTAGCAATTCGATACAATTAGCTCATCGTTAGTTTTTTATACTTATCTTTCCTCCCCACTTACATTGTATATTACGTAATCTACCGTAAGAGATTTTAGTGGTAAAATTTCAGACACTTGGCATTTCTTATTTTAAAACAAATTTATATGCAACGAGGTGTTTCAAATTCAATATAGAAATGTCCATTAATAGAAAAAATTATTATGCGCGGTGTCCAATCTGGATGCACCACGTTATCCAATATATAATGCATTAGATGATATGACACGTCCAGATTGACCTCCGGAAGTGTTTGGATACCGCACAGAATCATCTCTCCCATTAATGATGCAACTCACGTTGATGTGTTTGTTGTAAGTTTTGACTATCAATCAAGAGATTTTGGGTTCGAAAATGATGCAACTAAACTTGATCTGTTGATTTGGAATTTTGACTATAATTAAGAGATCTTGGATTCAAAATTTACATATGTAATTTAAGTATTTGTCTCAATTGAGCCAAATGTCCAGTAAAAAAGGGGGGATTTACATACATACCACTTTATTTCATTCTATTTATATATCTACACCTAAAATTTTAATATTACATTCGTACCACTCATATAAAATTTTAATATCAAATATATCACTCATATATTTCATTCTCATCATCCATATCACCCTATATACTTCAATATTTTCTTCTATGCACTCATATTTGTTCTATGAGTGATAGATATATAATATTAAAATTTTAGATGTGAGATATGTAAATAGCATAAAATAAAATGATATTTATGTAAATCCCCTAAAAAAAGTCCATTAATGATTTCTTGAAACTCTTCCTCTTGGAAGGCCAAAACATTAAGAAAAGATTCTTAGAAATCGCTTCTACCGAGATTAAAGTTGTAGTCAATGGTGTAAAGGAGCCGTAGTTGAAGAGCTCAAATATTATTCAATTCAGTTTATTAATTAAATGAGTTTTAAAAAAAAATTTGATGAGCTCAAATATTAATCAATTCGTTAAAACTATTCCCACTGTGAAATATCTTCACATAATAAATGAAGTAGTTGTTTTGAAAAAGCTGAAAAAAAAACTCTGAATTTAAAATTTGTTGTGGATAAATTTTCTTATTGTTTTATTTTTAATAATATGTGATTATTATTTTTTCATGATTTTTAATAAAAGAATTGTACTAAAATTTTATTTTTTTCTAACTAAAAAAATTAATTTATAATTCACAAATTTTTATTTATATAGAAATATAATAAAATTAATATTAAATAAATACAATCAAAAGTCTTTATTCTTATTTTACTGATTAAGCATACAAGTAGCAGAGACCAAACCGCTTCAAAGAGTTAGATCTAGTTCTCCTTTTAAATATCCCTATTCTACGATTAATTATTCTGTGCGGATGTCAAACGTCATCCTGAGATCAAATAGAATGTGCCACGTCACCTCTTATTCGGTACAGTCGCTTGGTATGCGTCTCGAAACTGCTAAAGTGATCATTCTGATTGATCTCCGAACGATATTTTGCACCCGATTTTCTCAGATAATAATTTCTCCTATTCTACATTTTATATCTTCCTCAAAGGAAGAGTAAACCAGTTTTCTCTGTTCTGAACCCATCATTGTATGTTTTCTTCACTTATATCTAAAGGAGAGAGAGAGAGAGAGAGAGAGAGAGAGAGAGAGAGAGAGAGAGAGAGAGAGAGAGAGATTCTCTATGGCAAAAATGGCAGGAAGTAACAACAGGAAGAGGCCATATGGCTTGCTTCTGCTGCTTGCTCTTGGCATGGCAGTTATGTGCGCAGTGGTGCTTCACCAGCTTAGGGAGGGCAGAGTTCTTAGCCTCCTAATCCAGGAAAGAGAACAGAAGCTTGCCACCCTTCAAATCCTCTTGCAGGTTCTGAATAAACTTTTCATTATTTTTTCTAACTATTTAAGCCTTCTTTTATCATATTCGATGCAAATTCATCAAAATAGATTTTTTTTTTAATCTCAACCAATTTTAGTTAGGATGGATCTCTTAAATAAGACTAATACATGTGATTCATTCAAAATAGATTTGCACTTATTTTAAAGCAATTATAATTATTTTGAAATTTATCATGATAAAAAATTTGCTAAGGAAATAATTTAGAGGAAGATAAATTTATTTTCACTCATTTTATAAGTGAAAATAAAATCATTGAGAGGATTTGATTTTTAATAATACTCATGAAGATTACAATCAGCTTTGATTTACAGCTACACATAACAAATGCTATTTTCTTGTTTTTACAAACAATTCAACAATCATGTTGGTGGACATTTAGGCCAATTAAGACAAAGTTACACGCACATCACATACGGAAAACTCGATCTCAAACCTTCTTAATCGATAGTCAAAGCTCCCAACTGACGAGAAATTATTATGTGTGGAGACCGGACGCAGAACGCGGTCCGGAAACCAACTAGAATGCGTCACGTTAGCCGTACCAAGTCGCAGTACTGAGCGTAGGGGTGACATGACGCATTCTGATTGGTCTCTGGACGGCATTCGACATATACACATAATAATTAATCCAACTAACAGACGAAGACCAAGGTGACCTGAGTAATTATATTCTTTTCATTCTTTCAATCATGATTTGCTAACTGAATACCCTCCTTGGTGAGTAGAAAGAAAGAGAAAACTCAAAAGAAATGAAGAGAAAAGTAGATGACATGAAAGCAAAGATATTTGCTTTGAGAAACCAAAAGATGGAGCTTACTGATAAGCTCGCAGATACTCGGAACATCGCAACTCAACTTAAGAAGATGAGGACTGATCTGGAAGCAGCTTTAGTGGAGAAACAAATCCAGGTTGATAAATTAACAGATGAAGTAGAGGAATTCATATTAACGAAGCTTAAGATTGCCAACCTGACATCACTCCTGAAGCAAAAGGAAGATGAAGTTCAAGAAATGAAGAGAAGTCTTACAAAGCAATCACTGGTAGAGAATTCAACAGCACAAAATGAGAAATCTCTACAAAGAAGCCTTACTGTTAGTGAGGAGAGAAAAGGAGAATGGTCTAAATTTCAGATAAACAAGGATGAAGTTGACCTGAAAGCTGAAAATTTAGGCAGTAGAAATCAAGAAGAAGCTGAAAAAAAGCTAAATTATGCTGAGGGAAATCAAACTGTGGGTGTTAAAGAAGTGAATGGAACAGAAGAAGGTAAAGGCGATGCCAAAAAAACTGAAGAAACAGCTAGAATGGAAAGAGTTGACCATGCAAATGTTGAAGAGATCAACGGACAACTGAAGTCTCCTGAAGGTTCAGAACTGGCAGCCAAAAATGACAGTGAAAATGCAGTAAAAGGCTTTGCCAAATATGAAAATATAATTGGATCTTCTTCAAATCAGAGTCAGTACGATTTGATACAGAAAACTCAAGATGTAGAAGGTATGAAAAATTTCTCATTTGATAATAAAAGCACCACTGACTTTGATTCTAGTGATAGAAAATTTTCCAGCTCCAAAACAGAAATGGAAGGGATTAAGCAAGTAACAGATAAGAACGACAAAGTAGAAGAAGATCAGAGGAAACAAGATGATGAGAACTCAAAAGCTGAAGGGCCAATTAGCAGTTCAAAAGATCTTCAGCTTCAAGAAACTGAAGTAGGTCAAAGCTCCCAAAAAGATGGAGATGGCTTCACTGAAACAATGCAGAATGAAGCAGGTAAGGGAGCCAAATCCATAGGACAGTCAGAAACTGTGGAAAATTCGGAAGAAAGTGCAACAGAAAGTAAGACCGGTGATGAGAAGCAAGCCGAATCTGAAGGTCAGTCTGAGAACGCTGAGAATCTTGAAGACTAACAGAACAATTTCCTTCTGACACAAGTGAAGGAGGCAACTTAAATGACTTAAAGATGACAAACGCTAAGTGAAAGAATAAAAAGAATGCAGTTGTGTACTATGCTTATAAAGCTGAAATTAGAGCTTAGTTGGGGAAGGCTTGCAAAAATTTGGCCAAAAGATTCTATGAACTTTGCTTAGTCATTATGATAAATAGCAGTTTTTTACTTTCCTTTGCAGGATTTACAAAATCCTACCTGCAGCCAAACTGCCTCTAAATTAAAAAAAAAAAAAAATTCTTATATAGCCATGTATAATATGAAAGCTTGTTTTTGAATTCTGCAGCAATATAAATTACAGAGCTTTGACCCTCCTTTTGCGTCCTCTGTGTATAAATCAGAAAACAACACGCCTGAATTCACGATAAAACTCCTTCAGCTTCGTGAGACTTCAATTTACTCGCAAAGTTTCCCACATGTTTATTATATTTTAACGTTTCTGAAAACATATTAAGTTCTGGTAAGGGATATTAGATATTACGTTTGTACTTTCTTGTCACTTGGCAAACTGACATTTGTCCTTGTATCTATATATTGTCCTATTGTGTTGTAATTAAAGTTTAACTGAGAATTACTTTTCGTTTTCATTATTTCTTCTCTTCCTCTGTTCTTCGTTTCTCAAGAAATCATCATGGTATCAGAGCGGTAAGATCTCTTCTCCGCCTTCTTTTTCGTTTCTCGTTCTACCTTCCGTCTTTTGTCTCATGGAGACCTCTACGGCAACTTCCTCTTCCCATCAAACTGGCAACATCACTCAAGCTTCCTTCCTCCCAACGCATCCAATCCCTGCGTCGTTCAAATTTTTGATGAGTAACATCAAGAATGTCGTTGCACAACCACTCAACGCTGACAATCATCCTCTATGGCGATCTCAAGTGTTCAAAAATTTCAAGCCAACGGCTACGAAGGGTTCTTGGATGGATCGCTCATCGCTCCACCAAGAACAGTGACAAACGACACAGGACAAATTGTTTCTTATCCTAACTACATCAGTTGGCGTTTACTTGATCAAAATCTCTCTGCTGCTTTATACTCAGTCATCTCCCCCACCATTCTCCCGTATGTGCTTTTCGTCGCCACCTGCACAATTTGGGGTGTTCTTGATCGGTGACTTGAGTCTAGCACCCAATCGAGAATCATTCAATTGAAACACGAATTTCATTATCTATCAATGAAAGATTGATGCTATGACTCAATACTTGCTTGAAGTCAAAACTAAAGTGGATTCTTTAGCTGCTGCAGGTGCTCCGCTTGAAGTCGAAGATGTTATTCACTACACGCTCGATGGTCTTCCACCGGCTTATCAAGCATTCAAGACCGTAATTCAGAACCAATCTTCAACCTCGAAGCATCGACGATCTTTATACGCTTCTTTGTAGCGAAAAAATCAACCTTGCTTACGAGACAACTCAGGAACTTCAATCCCTTCAAATTTCTGGAAATGCTACGGCCTTAACTGCAACTCGCGGTAGAGATTGGGGTCGTGGGCGATCGAATCAGAATCGAGGTCGCACGTCCTATGCAAATCGATCTCAGTCAAACAATCCAAACTCAAACAGTTGATCCAACTCCTCCAAATTGCCGATCACTTGTCAAATTTGTGACAAATACGATCATTCAGCACTCAAATGCTGGTACCGGCATGATGATCAATATACCGCTGACCAACCCAACACAGCTCTTTTCTCTTCACCGTCCCCAACCCAATCCTCCGAATGGTATCTTGATAGCGGTGCTTCAACACATCTTACATCCAATCCAACTCACTTTCAGTCTTCACAGCCATACACTGGCTAAAATCAAGTAATTCTTGGTAATGGTCACCAACTACCTATCCAAAATACCGGTAAAGGCATTCTACCTACTCCCCAAGGTAGTCTTCAATTAAATCATCTTAATCTTGTTCCGAATTTATCTTTCAACTTACTATTTGTTCATCAACTAACTCGTGACAACAATTGTCTGATTACTTTCTCTTCTTATGGTTATGAAATTAAGGACTATAAGACCCGCCAAGTTCTTCTCAAGGGTCCATGTATTAACAAATTGTACTCACTCCTAGCAAAGTCTCACAATTCTTCCAAAGTCCAAGCTCGCTCTCATCTCCGTTCAAGTCATTCCCAATCTATGGCATAGACGACTTGGCCATCCTTCAGCTTCCACTCAGTCTACATTAGCAAAACATTTTTCTGATATTTGTATTCCATCCTCTCCCTCTGTGTAATGCTTGTCAAATGGCTAAAAGCCACAGAAAACCATTTCATATTTCTCAAATTATTAGTACATCTCCTTTTGATCTGGTGCATTCTTCTATCCCCATTTAATTCTTTTCAAGGATATCACTATTACGTCTCTTTTATTGACAATTTTTCAAAATTTACTTGGGTATATCCCTTAATTCAAAAATATGAAGTTTTTAATAAATTTTTTTAATTCCAAAAGATGATCAAATGTCAATTTCAAACTGATATCCGCATTCTTCGCACCGACGGTGGTGGTGAATTAATAAATGCCAAATTAAATTCTCTTCTCAAGAATATTGGAATTATTCATCAATTCACATGTCCGTATTCTCCACCATAAAATGGAGTTGCCGAACGCAAACATCGTCATTTAACTGAAACAATTCAATCTCTTCTTATCGAAGCCTCACTTCCTCACACTTTTTGGGTTGATACTCTATTTACTGCTACCTATCTAATAAACTGTCTACCTTCTCCAAATACTTTCAACAAATCTCCATATGAAATTCTTTATCACAAAGCTCCAAATTACAACTTTCTCAAAGTTTTTGGATGTCTTTGTTATCCCTGGCTCGAACCGTACTCTTCCAGCAAATTGTCTCTATGTCCCATCCTTGCGTATTTATTGGATATGCTCAAGTTCAAAAAGGTTACCGTTGTTTAGATCCTCTTATCAATAAAGTCTACACTTCTCCTCACGTTGTTTTTAACGAAGCTGTTTTTCCCTTCTCTAATATTTCTTCTAGCTCTAATGTTTCTATCATCATGAATAACAGCACACCTCCTTTGCTTCTCATACCCACAACAGCCTTACCTACGTCCATTACAAAATCTACACCTTTACGCCATAATCAAGCACAAACTGTCATACCCATATCCTCGGAAAATCCTCAAACTGCTTCCCAAAATTCTGAACCGTACCTACCTTTATCCCTTCCTGATACATCCTCTACACTACCTGATACCTCACAACCTCGCATCACCAGCAAAACTCAAACTTCAATTCATCCCATGGTCACACGGCTCAAAAGTGGTCACTCCAAACCAAAACATATATTTGATCTTTCTTGCATTCTACAAACCGTTGAACCCACTACCTACAATCAAGCTGTCAAAAATGAACATTGGCGTTCAGCCATGTCTCAAGAATTTCAGGCTTTGCAAGCTCAAGCCACTTGGGATCTTATTCCATACTCAACCGACAAAAACATATTGGGTTGCAAATGAATATTTCGAACCAAACTCAGATCCGATGGTACTATTGCAAGATACAAAGCTAGACTTGTGGCTAAAGGATTCAATCAAGAACATTGTCTTGACTACACAAAGACTTTCAGTTCAGTAGCCAAAATGCCAAATATTTGTGTGCTTATTCTTATTATCTTACACTACAACTAGGAAATACATCAACTTGACGTCTCAAACGCATTCTTACACGGTAAGCTTTCAGGTGCGGTTTACATGCAACAATCACTAGGATTCACCGATTCTCTTCATCCCAACTACGTATGCAAATTGAATAAAGCCTTATATGATCTCAAAAAATCTCCTAGAGAATGGTACTCCACTCTCTCAAATCATTTTCTAAGTTTCGGATTCAAGATAAGTGCCGCCGACCCTTCGTAACTAACTTACAAAAAGGATTCCATTCGCATGTATATTTTAATTTACGTTGATGATATTTTGTTAACAGGAAATTCGGCCAAAGAAATTAATTGTCTACTCGCAAACTTACACAAAAGGTTTCAAATGAGAAATCTCGGATCATTGGCAAATTTCCTTGGCATTTAAGGTGTTGCAACTACCTATGGATTCCTTCTACATCAGCAACAATGTGCTCAAAGTATTCTGGATAAAGCTGGGATGACAAACACCAAACCAGTTTCCACACCCGCCTCATGCAAAACCGTGCTCACACCTACTTCCAACAACGATTTCTCTAATCCTGAACTATTCCGTCATCTAATCAGGTCACTTCAATATCTAACTTTAACTCATCCTGACATCCAGTATGTTGTCCAACAGCTTAGTCAGCATATGCATAAACCTCTTAATCTTCATTTCGAAACTCTCAAGAGACTAATTCGTTATATAAGAGGTACAACTAACACCGGCATAACTCTTCAAAAAGATGATCTCACACTCCAAGGGTTCGCAGATGCTGATTGGGCTAGTAATTCTCAAGATTGCAAATCAATTTTAGGATATTACAATTTTTTGGGCAAATCTCTCATATCTTGGCAAGTTAAAAAGCAAACTACGGTTGCTCGATTCTCTACCGAAGCTGAATATCAAGCTCTTGCTGCCGAAGCATCCGAGGTTATTTGGCTATGTAGACTTCTTGAAGACTTTCACATACCACAAACAATACCCACTACCATATACTACGATAATACCTCCGCAATCACATTAGCAAATAATCCTATTTATCATGCTCGTTCAAAGCACATTGACGTTGATTGTCATTTTATCCGTGATTGTATTCAAACCAAACATCTCTCGGTTCATCTCATTTGCACCAAGGACCAAATCGCTGGCATATTTACCAACATTCTACCTATACAAAGCTTCAAATCCTTGTCCAGCAAACTGATCACTGCTCCACTATCATCAATTTGACGGGGGCTATTATATATTACGTTTGTACCTTCTTGCCACTTCGCAAACTGCCATTTGTTTGTGTATCTATATATTGTCATATTGTGTTCTAATTAAAGTT